GAGATGAGTTAGCTAGTCTCGCTACAAACCCTCTGAGGTTGTCTCCTAGGACATGCATGAAAGGTCACAGAGCTACTGTTGAGTGCTTCTCTTATGGGCCTCAGTAAGACATGCATGAAAACTATGTACCTAATTTAGATTCCTATTTCATATCATACACTATATACCGTATTTGTTATTTCTCCTTTGATGTTACATTTGTTTATTCCGGTGATAAACTTGTGTGGCTCTGATAGTAATTTCATAGTGGTTAAAATATGCTGATTGAGTTAAGTGCATGTTATATTGTGGTTTTACATTTGGTTGAATTATATTACTTTGTGTGAGTTTCTGACAGTTAAGTATGTATGGGTTTCTGGAAGTAATTGTGAGTATGTTTCTGACACCTCTGTGACATTATCTGCCCTTATGTGGGTATCTGTCAGTAAGTATGCTTGGGTTCTGACAATCAGCCTCTCTGTGTCAGAAGAAAGGCAAGACAGACATTTAATCAGAATGCTACTGGCACCATTAGTATCGGAACTCTTTACTGGCTGCTGAAGATGGGGACAAAGCGCTTATGGGAATGCCCTGAGTGCTATGATATTGGTTCTTAAATCAACTCAACTCAACTCTCTATGTGGGTCCAAGCACTAGGGATCTGCTCCGGTGTGAAGTTCATTTATGTGTACTATGACCTGCAAGAACTTTGGTCTCCACAAGATAGTATCAGACAGTTCGATTCAGACAAGACACAGTAGTAGTTTCTATCTGGATCACACTGCCATCTGCTTGTAAGTTGTTGTCTCTTAGTCAACATGTTGTTTGTTTGCTATTGTTGATAAGAGGATTAATTAAAACCTACTACTGCTGCTGCTGCTGCTACTACTACTGCTGCTGCTGCTGCTACTACTGCTGCTGCTACTACTACTACTGCTATAGCTACAACTACTACTGCTATAGCTACTACTACTACTGCTGCTGCTACTACTACTGCTGCTATAGCTTCTACTGCTGCTCCTCACAATCCTTCTAACCGACACATACGTTTTTATTTGTTTGATGATTGGTTTACTTTTGCAGCGATAATTTCCCCCCAAAATTACAAAATACACCTAATATTCTGTAAAATATGGTATCTGCGGAGACTGGTATGGGTTCAGTCCCCAGCAGTGCCATTTTTGTTTTCTGACTAATAAGCTTTGAGACTAACTAAAGCTAATGAAATCTTTGCATGTTTCTCTATATCTTCATCTTTGCATAACTACTGAAGTTTCAATTGCACCACATATTCTTTTTGTTTGCATGAGGTGGCATTGTTCATTTTTATTGTCATGGCTTCTGCAAAATTGACTAAAAGCCATTTCATGAGTAGTAACTACTGTGGAAAACACATGGCTAATCCTGAACTTCCGGTGTTGAGATGTACAATGTAGTGTGACATATTGTGATTTGTGTCTTTCAGTGGAATGGATTCATTCTTCTTCTTGTGTTCACATTCTGATTCACACCAAAAGACAAGTTCTTGTGATAAATTACAGCTTTGGAATGGATTCATTCTTCCTCTTGTGTTCACATTCTGATTCACACCAAAAGACAAGTTCTTGTGATAAATTACAGCTTTGGAATGGATTCATTCTTTTTCTTTTTCTTGTGTTCACATTCTGATTCACACCAAAAGACAAGTTCTTGTGATAAATTACAACTTTGGAATGGATTCATTCTTCCTCTTGTGTTCACATTCTGATTCACACCAAAAGACAAGTTCTTGTGATAAATTACAGCTTTGGAATGGATTCATTCTTTTTCTTTTTCTTGTGTTCACATTCTGATTCACACCAAAAGACAAGTTCTTGTGATAAATTACAGCTTTGGAATGGATTCATTCTTCCTCTTGTGTTCACATTCTGATTCACACCAAAAGACAAGTTCTTGTGATAAATTACAGCTTTGGAATGGATTCATTCTTTTTCTTTTTCTTGTGTTCACATTCTGAATCACACCAAAAGACAAGTTCTTGTGATAAATTACAGCTTTGGAATGGATTCATTCTTCTTCTTGTGTTCACATTCTGATTCACACCAAAAGACAAGTTCTTGTGATAAATTACAGCTTTGGAATGGATTCATTCTTCCTCTTGTGTTCACATTCTGATTCACACCAAAAGACAAGTTCTTGTGATAAATTACAGCTTTGGAATGGATTCATTCTTTTTCTTGTGTTCACATTCTGATTCACACCAAAAGACAAGTTCTTGTGATAAATTACAGCTTTGGAATGGATTCATGGTTTTTTTCTTCATTATGTTTGGATTAACTCTAGAAAGGTATCAGACAAGATGCCAGTCAATACATTATTGACATGTACAACAGGAACGTTGCAGAACCAACCCCAGCATTTTTTGGCTGTTGTGGTTTTTCTAGGCAAGTTTATGTCCAGTAGTTTGGCATTGCTTTGTGGACTGTTGGCTTCTTGATATCCCTGTTGAAACCAACGCAAGGCCCGCAGCTGGGATCGAACCGGGCACCCTAGCATTACAAAGCGCGTTCGTAACGCCTAAGCCACAGTTGCCGACACAACAGGAAAACATTGTGTTAAATTAATGAAATGATGCCGGACAATTTTTCTGAGCTTTCTTTGTTTAGAGTTAGGGTTACATTTAGTGCTGGGATTTGGGTTATGGTTAAGGTTTTAGTTATGGTTGGGGTTTTAGTTATGGTTACGGTTAGGGTTGGGCCAACACTTTACACCTCAGTGACATTATCTGCCCTTAGTATTGTCATTATGCTGTTATCATCATTCCAGTAAGGCTGGGAAGGCTAACCCAGGCAATAAATGCCTGTAAAATGTTAAATTAAGAATCAACATCCCAGCACTTTGGACACTGCCATAAGCAATCTGTCCACATCTTCAGCAGCAACCGAAGAGTTCCAATTCCGATCGCACCAGTATCTGTCTGATTGCATTTCCATCTCACCTTTCCCCCGAGTGTTGATTGCCGGCTAGATCCCATTGTAACTCCTTGTAGCACCATTCTACCCAGACCGTAATGATCTATCTGTGCCTCTGCACTGTTCAGTCGCTCCCAAATAGCTGTCACTACATCCAGCATGTCATACATCTTCTTCTTCTTCGGTCACCGGCTGTAAATTCCTGCGGAAAGTGCCAGTAGATCGTCCATTTGGACTCTTAGCTTTTACCTGGACCTGAGTCTGCCGTTCCCTGCCCCACTTGCAGATGTACTCCAACTTTGAGGGAGACTATCATACATCAATTCACCACCAAGTGGTCCTAGACCAGCCATTCTGTCTGCCTGCTCATTTCCCAACACACTGGCATAACTTGTAGTTGTCGGATAGGTTGGCTAAAAGATTCAGAAATATTGCAGCCATGCTGTAGAATGGGCACAAGGGGGTTGTGTGCTTAGCCAAATGCAGAATAAGATTCCAGTAATCGACTGGGTAGTGGTGTCAGTGACCGCAGCTTCTGCTTTGTTAGTCAAATAAAAACTGAATATCATGGATTTGATAAAATCTTTTCTGAGAGAGAGGGAAAGGGAATGACAGCAGGTTGGACTATATAGCACAGTCATAGTTTGATGAGAACCCTGAAACAGAATAATGTATTTTGTAGTGATCAATAAGTAAACAGCTTGACGTGGGTTATAAAGCCGCATTGCTGTTTCCTGCAGCCATTAACATAATATACAACATTATTGCTAGGGTACTGAACTATGTCAATGAGTACGGTGAATATAATCTAGGCCTGTGAGAAACTGGTTGGAAGTAGCTAGCGGTACAAGGTAGTATGGACTAGTACCATCTATACAGGCACCTTACAGTCATGTTTAGTCTTTCCCCCTTTTACCCTGAGATGTAGAGATGATACCTTACAGTCTTTAGTCTTTCCTCTTCTACCCTGGGATGTAGAGATGATACCTTACAGTCTTGTTTAGTCTTTTCCCCTTTGTCAAGGACCTTGTATCTATATTACCTAACTACAGCTTGTTGTACAGCCCTGTGATAGACACACTATACTAGAACACACTCAAAACACACACCTATTGAGCACACATCATCTTTGATGCATAAAAAGCAACACAAACCTAAAGCAACCTCAACAGTTATGGACAGTCCCTAATCTGAAACTCTCGCAGTGGCAGCATTTATATTTACTTATCCACCCCGAGCCGTTCCCATGGATGTACCAGAGGGCACGATTCCATCTCCTGTTGTGCAGCGCAGAAAACATTCTACATATTTACATATTTTACTACCATACCACAAAACACAATCCACATATTCACATATTTCACCGCCATGCCACAGAAAACATTCTACATATTCACATATTTCACCACCATACCACAGAACAGATTCCACATCCTAAAATATTTCACTGCCGAAACACAGAACACATTCCACATATTCACACATTTCAAAGAGAATTAATTAAAGGTCCACTGAAATAACATGTTGAACAGAAAGGTGCAGATATTACAGCCTAACTGTAAACTGCAACAGAACATGCCTGCCACCCTTAGTCTTAGCTGAGGTTTCAGCTTCACTGCTATCGGATCACCCCATAGTTGTTCCGTTCCTGTGCCAGTGACAATTTAATTAAATGTCTCTCACTCTTCCATTTGAAAAACCTTTGAACAAACAATTAGTCCCAACACAATCCAGAAATATGCACATGCAGTAAATGTGTATGGTAGTTGCTAGAGGCTATGGTAGTTTCGTCGCCCAGCTTCTGAGTTGAGTGCATGGCGTGACACTGTGAGCTGCGTTTGTTTTTCGTTGGCACAGGAGCGGAGCATATGTGGGGTGACCCGTTTGCTATGAAGCTGAAACTAGGATTACCAGATTGCTAGAGGCCAGCCACCATTTTAAGGCCAAACGTAAATGCAGACAAAAAAAAAAAAAAGATTGTCTAAAATTAACAAGATGTGGCTTGTTAAAAAAAACAGACCTGTAGTCTGTGTTGTGAGTTACCAATGTTGTGTTTTGCTTTTTCCACAGCATCAGATTACGTCTGCTATAAGCAAGATGATAGTGGAAGGACAGCAACCACGAATTGTCCCCAAGGGTCGAACCTTCTCCGTCCAGTACTCACTGCCCAAATTGCCAGTACCACCTCTGGAACAAACGCTGAAGAAATATCTGGACACATGCCGTCCACTGTTGGATGATGAACAGTATAAACGGACACAAGAAGTGGGTTTAAATTAATCTTCTTCTTCTTCGCGTTCACCAGCTGTACACTCTGGCGGAAAGTTCTGGTTGATCGTCCACTACTGAACTGCAGTCCCGCTCCAGAACCTGAGTGTTGCGTGTGCATCAGTTTTACAGATCTCATTCTCTTGAATACAGACTGTTGGTTCCTTGCCTCTCCGGCAGATGCACTCCGACTTCAAAGGAAGCTCCCCAATTAGTCGACTCTTACGACATGCTTTTGGGGAGGCAGTGGGTCTATTCTTGTTTTCCCCACAATGGGGCCCCGGAACCCACACGGGGGTATTTAAATTAATAATTTTAAAAGAAAATGGTTTTTCCTTTTATTTTGCACCTGGACAGTTTGACATGGTGGCATGGAGTATCATCTGTATCAGAGTTAAAATACACGAGACAGAAGGGTGTGCAGACATGACTATCAACACCATATGGCAGGAACTTTAAGAAGAAGAAGAAGTCACTTTGTTTTGGCAAACAATGGATAAAAATCTGGACACTAAAGTATCAAACTACTTTGAAGATTTACTGCATTTATTTCTTCATTTACTTTTCTTTCTGCTATGTTTTTTTTTTTTTTTTTTAACTCTTTGAGTCCCAAGGAAAGCGTCACACGTTCATAGATTCTTATCTAGAAGCCCAATGAACGCAAGATGCACCTATTTTATGACTTTCTTGACTACCTCTTGGACCTGTGATACTAAACCTCCTGAGACTCAAAGAGTTAAGTGTGTTTTTCGATGTATGCTAAATTATAGATCTTTCTTTCTAAATTAAAAACTTTGGTTTAAATGACCCTCAAATCAGAGTTTGGACCTCATTGTGTTTGCCGGTTAAGCACAAAACCCTGTATACTCAGTAGTGTCAATACCTTGGACAGCCAAAAAGAGCAACCAAGAGGTTTTAAAAGAGGCGGGAGCCCGAAGACAACTTATCACAGACATCAGAAGTAGACAGTCATCATTTTTTGGCCATGTTATGAGAAGAGGGAAAATAGAACATGCTGTAACCACTGGAAAGATCTGTGGAAGGAGGGATAGAGGAAGACAACAAGAGAAGATTCTTGACAGTCTTGTTGCATGGCATTGAGGTGTGTCGGCACACAAACTGATTCATGCAGCAGGAAATCATGGATTGTGGAGAGGCATGATCGCCCACGCCAGTCGGCAAGGCGCCTAATGATGATGTGTACAACAAAATCAGACAGGTCAAACATTCTACACATCAGGCTCTTGTGTAAAGTTATGTTTAGTTGCATTTAGTTCTGACATTGAGGCTGCCCTGGTAAAACAACCAATCATGTTTATACAGGATTCACTTATTTGCTTCATTTATGTCATTGTTATTGTAGTATGCACCTGACTAGATACAGCGAAATATGCCAGGCAATAAATTGGGCATTGTTTATATCTTCTTTGTTCAAATTCACAACGGCTAAGCAAGACAATCGACCACAGCACAGATCGAACCCGGCACCCTGGTGTGTACTGCTGTCTTATTTTCTTTTGGTGTTTTCTCTTCTACCCTGGAGTGTACAGCTGTCTTATTCTCTTGAATGTTTCCTCTTCTACCCTGGAGTGTGCAGCTGTCTTATTCTCTTGAGTGTTTCCTCTTCTACCCTGGAGTGTACAGCTGTCTTATTTACAGCTGTCTTATTCTCTTGAGTGTTTCCTCTTCTACCCTGGAATGTACAGCTGTCTTATTCTTTTGAGTGTTTCTTCTTCTACCCTGGAGTATACAGCTGTCTAATTTACAGCTGTCTTATTCTCTTGAGTGTTTCCTCTTCTACCCTGGAGTGTGCAGCTGTCTTATTCTCTTGAGTGTTTCCTCTTCTACCCTGGAGTGTACAGCTGTCTTATTCTCTTGAGTGTTTCCTCTTCTACCCTGGAGTGTGCAGCTGTCTTATTCTTTTGAATGTTTCCTTTTCTTCCCTGGAGTGTAGAATACTTTACACTTTTATTGCGGTATTTAAAAATCTTTTCTTCTGTACCCTGTGACTTATAACTACCTAGGTGTCCTTTTGTTTTACCATTCCTGTTTTACCCTGGTATTTAAAAGTTTGTAGTTCTCTACACTGGTTTTTGGCCATGTTTCAGTGCTTGCTCTTGCCTTCTGTTTCAGGTTGTAGCAAGATTCAAACAGGGGGAGGGTCCAGTGTTGCACAAGTTGTTAGAACAGAGGGCTCAGAGCACGGTCAACTGGGTAGGTGGTCTCGATTATATATCTGGGGTCATTTTATATCATCATTAGTTGATTGTTGGAGAGTGCGGGTTGTTGTTAACTGATATTTGTGTGAAACCCCTGACTCCCATCTATAGGTCCCCTAACTACTGTCATGTAGAAGCTACACAGGAGAAACAGACTGAGGGAGTACACCCAGGAAAAATCCTTCCTTGGGGAGCCACCGTGGTGTAGCGGCTAGATGATCGCCTACAGATCGGAACGTCGTGGGTTCAGGACCTGATAACGCTGGACTTTTTTCCGAAATGACCTTGGGTCCCAGATGAACCCAGCCTTAAATGGGTTTAATCCTGGGAAGTAAAGGCGACCGGCGTGATGTTGGTTACATCACCCGTAAGTGCCGATTGGTCTAGCCCTATATGCCCAGATGAATGAAGACATGGAATAGGGTGCTTTACTTTCTTTTATAATCCTTCCTCTCATTTGTGATCTGTCAGGTTTTTTTTTTAGAAATACTAAAAAATAATACAAGACACATCTTTGCATTTTTACAATAGAATTACTGACAGCTTTACTGTTGACACACTGCTGATTGTACCATACAAATATCTACAGAATTACCATAAAAATACTGGCAAACCATAAAGATACTGGCAACTTTATTGCTGAAATACTGCAGATTTAAAATATTTTAATTCTAATGTCAAATCGATACTTTTGTGTGGGACGGAAACATGGAGAACAACTAAGGCAATTACTAATAAACTACAGACATTCATTAACTGGTGCCTGCGCAGAATAGAGGGAATTAAATGGTATGATAGAATCACTAATGTAGACCTTTGGGAGTGAACTAAGCAAGCTTCAGTGGACCAAGAGGTAAGGAAAAGACGCTGGCGTTGGATAGGACACACACTGAGAAAACCAGTGAACAATATAACTAGAATGTCTTTGCATTGTAACCCACAGGGGCATAGGAATAAAGGAAGGCCAAAAAACACATGGAGAATGGAGCTGGAGAATAAAGTTAGAAAGATGGGAAGAGCTGCATGTAATAGCAAAGGATAGAACGATTTGGCATGTGTTGGTTGAGGGCCTATGCTCCATTGGGGGCTAGAAAGGCAGAAGAAGAAGAGACTGCTGATTGTGTCATAGAAATATCTAGAGACTTACCATAGAAATACTCAGTTTTATCATGAGTTGGGTTTAAAATTGCCATCACATCTCTCAGGACGTTCTCATAAGCATGCCTTCCCCATCTTCAACAGCCATCGAAGAGTTTTACTGCTGAGAAAACCAGTAAAGTTTTATCGTAGAAACATGAATAATATTGTATAGAAATAGTGTCAACCCTTCTGTATCCTCTTCATGTCGCTGTTGACACATAAGGCATTCACGAGTGATCTCCATTGCTGCCGGCCTGCTGTTTTTCGCCCATGGTATCCCATGTTAGTTTACATTCCTTTATTCCCCGTTCTGTTGTCCTTCTCCAGGTTCCCTTAGGTCGTCCACGTCTTCTTTTCCCATTTGCTGTCCTCCAGAGAGCTGTTTTTTGCCAGAGTGTCACAATGCATTCTGCAAACATGTCCAAGCCATCTTCATCGTCTTACTTTGATAACATTTTCCAGTGATGCACATTCTGTTTTCCTCCTCAACCCTTGCCCTAGATATATTGTCAGTCCCAAAGTAGATTTACTAACAAGTCTATCATGGAGATTTTGAAATAGCAAATTCATACTTGAAAATTGTCAGAAGGTTATTAAAGACGAATTCGGAGATAAGATACTGAGGTTCATGATGCACGCTCGGGCAGTGTCATAGTTGAATCTGCTGTTTGTTTGTTACTATAGCAAACTTAGAGTCGTCTATGATGCTTTTCTGGGTTGAATAGTCTCATGCACTTGCTCTCATTTGGCAGCTTTCTGACTGGTGGAAGTACTGGGCCTATCTGGACGTGAGGGTACCGGTGGTTGTCAATGTCAGCCCGGGGATATTCTTGCCCAGGCAGACGTACCGAGGGCAGGCGGAGCAGCTTGAGTAAGTTATTCGGGAGAGTCTTGATGTTGTGTGACATGTGAATATGGTTTCTAAAATGGATCAACATCATGGTACAAGGGTGGTTACCCATAAGTGCTCCGTTCTACTTGTAACTCAAGCCTGAGTCTGAAGAATCTCAGCGCAGTGCACTAACTTCATAGCACCGGTGAGGATCCTGAAATACTTTTGGGTAGATTTGTAACAATGTTAGGCTACTCTTTTCAATTTTAAACTGCCAAGGGATTTTTTACATAGGCAACAATACACACTACTCTAGAATTCTTGAGCAGAGACTTAGATGTCTGGTAGAGCCACAGCTGGACGAGGCCCAATGCGGCTTCAGAGCAAACCGAAGTACTCAAGACCTTATCTTCACACTGAGACAGATGAGTGAAAAAGCCCTGGAATATAAGAGTGAGATGCACTTATGTTTTTTGGATCTGGAAAAGGCATTTGACAAGGTACCCTGGAACAAGCTCTGGGACTGCTTGGCGGGGAAAAACATCCCAGCACCCCTGATCAGTGCAATACAGAGTTTCTACAAATATTATGTAAGAACAGCAGACCAAAAGTCTGAAGAATTCAAGACCGCCAGCGGTGTTAGACAAGGTGATATTCTCTCACCTTACCTCTTCATTCTTATGAGGGATGATGTCATCAAGACCTGTAAGGAGAAGACAAAGAAGTACTCTGTAGGGTACTGGAAGATGAGACCAATTTGTATATCAGAGCTGGCTTTTGCAGACGATGTGGCCCTGATAGCTAAATCAGAGGCACACCTTCATTCCAACTTACTTGTCTGGAAGGAAGAGCTTGAAAAGAGAGGGATGACCATCAGTATCTCCAAAACTAAAACCATGGTGATCTCAAGAGAGGAGAAGAAACACCAGATCATGATGGGACAGTATGCATTGGAGAAGGTTAACCAGTTCAAATACCTTGAAGTTGTACTAGACCAAAATGGAGGCATTAAGACTGAGCTGGCTACACGAAAAGCAGCTGCTGGGAGACTCTTCCAGGCCATAAACCGAGGGTTTCTTAGCAAAAGAGAAATTGGCAAGAGGGCGAAAATGGCTGTTTACCGCTCTACCTATGTACCAGTCCTGACCTATGAGTGTGAGTCATGGGCAATGACAACAGCTCACAGAAGCCAGGCCTCGGAAATGAGATACCTGAGAAAGGTGGTCCAAGTGACAAGAAGGGACAAAGTCCGCAATCAGACAATACGCCAAGATCTTGATACCCAGCCCTTACCAACCCGAGTAGATCAGTCACAGTTACGATGGTTTGGACATGTATGCAGAATGGGAGAAAATCGGCCACCATGGCAAGCATGGGAGGCTAAGAACCAGGGAACCAGACCTCCAGGACGACCCAGGGTGCGCTGGAAAGACAACATCCGACAGTCCCTAACTGACAGAGGACTGGAATGGAACAAAGCCAGAAAGAAAACTGCTGATAGAGACGTCTGGCGATCTCTCTGGCAAACCTCTACACCCCAAGGTAGAAGAGGAGCGACTAAGTAAGTAAGTAACGATACACACAAGCGTCCGATCTTGCTACCCAGAGACCCAAAAAATTTCAGCCTTCATCGGGGCCTGAACCCGGGACCTCCCTTCCTTGAGACCACTCAGCTGCCTGGTGACATGTGAATATGTGACACTGGGGGAGAATTACACTGCAGTGTGTCATTTTGTGGTAAAGTTACAGTGTGGTGGGGTATGTGAACAAGAGTGGACTAGTGTGATATGTGAACAAGCGTGGACTAGTGTGACATGTGAACAAGAGTTGACTGTAGTGTAACATGTGAACAAGAGTTGACTGTAGTGTGACATGTGAACAAGGGTGGACTGTAGTGTGACACATGAACAAGGGTGGACTGTAGTGCGACATGTGAACAAGGGTTGACTGTAGTGTGACATGTGAACAAAATTGGACTGTAGTGTGACATGTGAACAAGATTGGGCTGTAGTGTGACATGTTAACAAGACTGGACTGAAGTGTGACATATGAACAAGATTGGACTGTAGTGTGACATGTTAACAAGTTTGGACTGTAGTGTATCATGTGAACAAGGTTGGACTGTAGTGTGACATGTGAACAATTGGTAGACTGTAGTGTGACATGTGAACAATTGGTGGACTGTAGTGTGACATGTGAACAATTGGTGGACTGTAGTGTGACATGTGAAAAAGGTTAGACTGTAGTGTGACATGTGAACAAGAATTGACTGTAGTGTGACATGTGAACAAGAATTGACTGTAATGTGTGTGACATGTGAACAAGAGGGGACTGTAGTGTGACATGTGAACAAGATTTGACTGTAGTGTAACATGTAAACAAGATTTGACTGTAGTATGACATGTGAACAATATTTGACTGTAGTGTAACATGTTAACAATGGGTGGACTGCAGTGTGACATGTGAACAAGGATGGACTGCAGTGTGACATGTGAACAAGAGAGGACGGTAGTTCAGCAAAGTTTGTGGGATAACTAACAAGTGTAATGTGATGCTTTGCGATGATAAAATGAAACTCACTTGTATGGGAGAGTCACAGTTTAGTGTGATATGTAACATAAACAAAAACATACGACTGATGTCTACGGCTGCTCTTGTTTTCCCTTGCCCTGTGCAGATTTGCTGCAAAGTTCATCGCTGGAGTCCTGGACTACAAGACCAAGCTGGATGAGTAAGTGAAGCTTTTCTGTCATTTCTGTAGTTTGAAGCTTGCTGGTCTTTTCACAGATTGTCTGTGTTCGAGTCCTGGTTATGTTCCCATTTTACAACATTAACAGTCAGTGCTTGCTTCAATTTTTCCAGTCTGTATCTATGTCGGTGTTGACGCACAAGGCATCCACAAGTGATCTCCATTGCTGCCAGTTTGGACACTTTTCTACCCATGCCATTTAACATTCTTCTATTTTCTTTTCTGATGTCCTTCAGATTTACGTGGGTCGTCTACATTTCCTTTTTCCATCTGCTGTCCATTGGAGAGATGCCCTTGCCAAAGCGTTATGAGGCATTCTGCACACATGTCCAAGCCATCTCCATCTTCTTGCTTTGATAATATTTGCCAGTAATGAACATTTGGTACTTAAATTTTATACGACCACGTCTCGAACGTCCCATAGTATGGGGGGGGGGGGTTTAGAGTTAGGCGTGGTAGTAGTGGCTAATCATTTAACACTAGCCCTAACCCTAACACCCCCTCACCCCATAATATGGTACTGTCCAGGGAACCCCTGGGATTTCCCAATGAAATTTGGAAGCTGATGTGATGTGGTCATATGAATTGAATTACCAGACATTTTGTTCTCTCTTCTTCATTTTTAATCTCATTGGCCAAAACATATGCGAGATTCCCCTTATACATTTATATTGAAGTTTTTCATTTCTGTAGTTTGTTTGGCTGCAGTTATTTACTGTACAGCACCATTCTGTGCTGTGCTGCTAAGCATAAGCTGTCATGTTTTGTCCGTCTCACACGATCACCTGAGTCACAGATCAGCTCAATGTTTTTGTCTTGCCCTATCCATCTGACCAGGCCATCCAAATTCTACATCATATTTTCCCATTGGCTACAGTAGTTCTTAGGCGATCATTCACGGAGTCAAGTGTCAGTTTATCATTAGTTTACATGCGACCACTTCACAGGGTAAAGTGACACTCTGTTATTAGTTTACATGCAACCACTTCACAGGATCATGTGACACTTTCTCGTTACTTTACAGTCGACTTCTTTACAGGATCAAGTGACACTTTCTCATTACTTTACAGGCGACTACTTCACAGGGTCAAGTGACACTCTATCATTAGATTACATGCGACCAGTTCACAGGATCAAGTGACACTCTCTCATTAGTTTACATGCGATGACTTGACAGGGTCAAGTCACACTCTGTTATTAGTTTACAGGTGACCATTTCACAGGATCGAGTGACACACACTCATTAGTTTACATGTGACCAGTTCACAGGGTCAAGTGACACTCTATTATTAGTTTACAGGCAACCACTTCACAGGATCAAGTGACACTCTCATTAGTTTACAGGTGACCACTTCACAGGGTCAAGTGACACTCTCATTAGTTTACAGGCAACCACTTCACAGGGTCAAATGACACTCTCATTAGTTTACATGCAACGTCTTCACGTGGTCAAGTGACACTCTCTCATTAGTTTACAGGGGACCACTTCACAGGGTCAAGTGACACTATCTCATTAGTTTACATGCAACGTCTTCACGTGGTCAAGTGACACTCTCTCATTAGTTTACAGGGGACCACTTCACGTGGTCAAGTGACACTCTCTTATTAGTTTACAGGCGACCACTTCACAGGGTCAAGTGACACTCTCTTATTAGTTTACAGGCAACCACTTCACAAGGTCAAGTGACACTATCATTAGTTTACAGGCAACCACTTCACAGGGTGAAGTGACACACTCTCATTAGTTTACATGCGACCACTTCACAGGGTCAAGTGACACAATCATTAGTTCACATGCGACCACTTCACAAGGTCAAGTGACACACTCTCGTTAGTTTACATGCGACCACTTCACAGGGTCAAGTGACACTATCATTAGTTTACAGGCAACAACTTCACAGGGTCAAGTGACACTCTCTTATTAGTTTACAGGCAACCACTTCACATGGTCAAGTGACACTATCATTAGTTTACAGGCAACCACCTCACAGGGTCAAGTGACACTCTCATTAGTTTACAGGCAACCACTTCACAGGGTCAAGTGACACTCATTAGTTTACAGGCAACCATTTCACAGGGTCAAGTGACACACTCATTAGTTTACAGGCAACCACATCACAGGGTCAAGTGACACTCTATCATTAGTTTACAGGGGACCGCTTCACAGGGTCAAGTGACACTCTCATTAGTTTACAGGCAACCACTTCACAGGGTCAAGTGACACTCTCATTAGTTTACAGGCAACAACTTCACAGGATCAAGTGACACTCTCATTAGTTTACAGGGGACCACTTCACAGGGTCAAGTGACACTCTATCATTAGTTTACAGGGGACCGCTTCACAGGGTCAAGTGACAGTCATTAGTTTACATGCCCCAAGAGATGTAAGCCAGTCACTTTTGTACTGCATTATTTTATTGATGACAGGAGTTGGACTTTTTTTTTTTAAAAATGACCTTGGCTCCCAGGTCGACCCAGCCTTGATTGGGTACCAGGTACATTGTTGGTAAGTAAAGGCGGCCGGCGTGATGCTGACCACATCACCCACCAAGTGCCATTTGGTCTGTAAAATATAGGTCTAGCCCTATATACCCAATACACCTGAAGGTGTAGAAAAGGGTCCTTTACTTTTACTCCCTCACTGTAATGTATTTTTGTTTAGATGATTTATCGTATTTGTGCAATATTGTTTGTGACATTAGTAAAGTGGTTGTTTTTCTGAGGATTTTTGTTTTGTTTCCAAAAATTGAAAGTACAGAAGCTTAGTTTTATTTTTTCTGGTTTATATTGATAGAAGGGTTGCGCCAGGGGCTCACGTTATAATCGCCTTTATAGACTAGTCGGCACTTCATGAGTCATGTGGTCAGCATCATGCTGGCCATCTTTCTTCTTCTTCTTTTCACGTTCACCGGCTGTAAACTCTGGCGGAAAGTTCTTGTTGTTTGTCCATTTCTGGATTCTGGTCCTGTTAAAGATTCTGAGTGTTGCATGTACAACCGTTTCACAGGTCTGATTAATTTGTGTGCAGACTGCTGGTTCCATGCCTCTCAGGCAGATGTACTCTGACTTCAAAGGAAGCTCCTAATTAGTTGACTCTTACAACATGCTTGTTGTGAAGGCAGTTGGTCTATTCTTGTTTTCCCCCGGAACCCACATGGGAAACCATCTTTCCGTCTCAGTGCATTACCTGGTACCCAAATCCAACTGGGTCATCGGCTGTAAACTCTGGCAGAAAGTTCGGGTTGTTTGTCCACCTCTAGGCATTGGTCTTGCTCCAGAACTTGAGTTTTGCATGCACATTCATGTGGCAGATCTGGTTTTATTGTGTGCAGACTCACTGTGTGGGTTCCAGGGCTTTTTCTATGGGGAAAACAAGACTAGATCCGTTGCTAGCATGTCCTAGGAGTCAACTAATTTGGGGTATCCTTCAAAGACGGGGTACCTCTGCCTGGGAGGCCAGGAACCAAGAGTCTACATACAATTAAGCCACATCTGTGAAACAGATGTGCATGAGACATTGAGGTGCATGAGACACTGAGGTGCATGAGACACTGAGGTGCATGAGACACTGAGGTGCATGAGACACTGAGGTGCTTGAGACACTGAGGTGCTTGAGACACTGAGGTGCATGAGACACTGAGGTGCTTGAGATACTGAGGTGCTTGAGATACTGAGGTGCTTGAGACACTGAGGTGCATGAGACACTGAGGTGCTTGAGACACTGAGGTGCATGAGACACTGAGGTGCTTGAGACACTGAGGTGCATGAGACACTGAGGTGCTTGAGACACTGAGGTTCATGAGACACTGAGGTGCATGAGACACTGAGGTGCTTGAGACACTGAGGTGCATGAGACACTGAGGTGCTTGAGTCACTGAGGTGCTTAAGACACTGAGGTGCATGAGACACTGAGGTGCATGAGACACTGAGGTGCTTGAGACACTAAGGTGCTTGAGACACTGAGGTGCTTGAGACACTGAGGTGCTTGAGACACTGAGGTGCATGAGACACTGAGGTTCTGGAACAAGACTAAAGTCCTGAGGTGGAATACATGAATTTTCTGTTTTTCCTGTGTTGATAAAAAACAATTTTCTGTTTTCCCTGTGTTGATATAAAACAATTTTCTGTTTTCCCTGTGTTGATGTAAAACAGTTTTCCCTACGTTGATATAAAACAATTTTCTGTTTTCCCTGTGTTGATATAAAACAATTTTCTGTTTTCCCTGTGTTGATATAACACAATTTTCTGTTTTTCCTGTGTTGATATAAAACAATTTTCTGTTTTCCCTTTGTTGATATAAAACAATTTTCTGTTTTCCCTGTGTTGATGTAAAACACATTTCTGTTTTCCCTGTGTTGATGTAAAACAAATTTCTGTTTTCCCTGTGTTGATATAAAGCACTTGTGTAACAGAAGACTTGTCCATCAGACAGTCCATCCCTGTAGACACTCTCGGAGGCAAGCCTTTGTGTATGGTCCAGTACTATCAGCTGCTGAATGCCTGCAGGATCCCGGGGAACCCCTCAGACAGCCATGTTTGTATCGGCCCTGATGACCCCAACAAGCCCAGACACATCAATGTTGTATACAACAACAACGTAAGACCCACATATTGTTGCTTGTGCTCTTCTTCTTCTTCTTCTTCTTCTTCTTCTTCTTCTCTTCTTCTGTGTTCACCTGATGTAAGTTCTGGCTGAAATTGCTGGTTGTTCATCCACTTGTACTTTGCCTTTGTGCCAAAACCTGAATTTTATGTGTACCTCCATTTTACTTACTTATTTGTGTGCAGTTGGTGGTTTGCTGCTGCTCGGGCAGATGCACTCCGACTTCGAATAAAGCTTCTAATGAGTCGACTGCTACGACATGCTACTTGGGGAGAGAGTGGGTCTGTTCTTGTTTTCCCTCTTTTTTGTTCTTTTGTTTCTTTTCTATATTTCTCAAATTTTTAATTTTGCATTCCTCTTTTTATTAATTATTATTATTATCAATTATTATTATTACTATTAACTATGAAATGAGGTAAAAATGAAACATTGTATGAAAGGAGCAGAGTGGAAGGGCAGAATGTTAGACGGGCCTGCGTGCCCAATTCTTAACCCTTTGAAAATAAAGTTTGTTCGTTCGTTCGTTCGTTCGTTCCCCACAATGGGGACTGCTACGACATGCTACTTAGGGAGGCAGTGGGTCTGTTCTTGTTTTCCCCACAATGGGGACTGCTACGACATGCTACTTGGGGAGGTAGTGGATCTGTTCTTGTTTTCCCCACAATGGGGACTGCTACAACATGCTACTTGGGGAGGTAGTGGATCTGTCCTTGTTTTCCACACAATGGGGACTGCTATGACATGCTACTTGGGGAGGTAGTGGATCTGTTCTTGTTTTCCCCACAATGGGCACTGCTATGACATGCTACTTGGGGAGGTAGTGGATCTGTTCTTGTTTTCCCCACAATGGGCACTGCTACGACATGCTACTTGGGGAGGTAGTGTGTCTGTTCTTGTTTTCCCCACAATGGGCACTGCTATGACATGCTACTTGGGGAGGTAGTGGATCTGTTCTTGTTTTCCCCACAATGGGGACTGCTACGACATGCTACTTGGGGAGGTTGTGGGTCTGTTCTTGTTTTCCCCACAATGGGGACTGCTACGACATGCTTCTTGGGGAGGCAATGGGTCTGTTCTTGTTTTCCCCACAATGGGGACTCGGAACACACATGGGGATTTGTTTCTGCATTTCTGTATTTGTTAACTGTTGGCATGTGTAAACACAGCTAGGCTCATTGTGTCAGTTGCATTTGGTATGTAAACACAGTGCTAGCTAGTTGTAAATAATTGTTGAAGTGTAAACATGGGTGTGGCTTGTGATCAATAAATTTTTTCATATTTGATCGCACAGCTCCATTATTGTCAATAATATGTGATAGCTAAACACAGTAAAGGCATACGGCAGTTAGTTAGTTGACACAGGGCACACACAAAAACATGTGCACATGTTTGAGTTGAGTAGTTCATCACTGTGCCCGTGTGGGCTGCAGGTACAAACCACAGAACATATCCGCAAACTGTGCCTTGTACAGCCCATTAAGAAGGGAATACTGGCCCAGTGAGCCGCACCATACTTAAGCAGGAAAACACAATCAGTTTATCAAAAGAATGCCTCCTGGGGTAAATAAAGGATGTGACCACAAGAAGAAGATCCCAAGTCGACCCAGCCTTAAGTGGGTTCCGGGTGTAGTCCTGGGAAGTAAAGGCGGCCGGCGCGATGCTGACCACATCACCCATCTTGTGCTGATTGGTCTATAATAATATAGGTCTAGCTCTATATGCCTTATACACCTAAAGACGTGGAAAGGGGACCTTTACTTATCGATCACCTTTACAACAATCAGATCCTGGCTCACTGCGGCATACCAGGAAATGAGCTAGCAGACAAACTTGCAAAAAATGGAACAAAGAAGAAACAACACATTACCAGAAATCAAAACACTTATCAAAGGAAAATACCAGGGATTGTGGAGAGAACAAACTTACAGTAAATATCCACAAGACTCCATCAGCAGACTCAACATAAAGCAACATACAACAATTTTCCATCTATGAACAGGACACTGCAGGCTCAACTACCACTTGCATAAAATAAAGATTGTACAGTCCCCACAGTGTGCCGGTCAGACAGGACCACAAATACTTGAGCACATTCTGCAGGCCTACCCACTCTGCCCACAACTTCGAAAAACCACCTGACCTCAAGAGCAAAGTGTGCAGAGCAAGCTATGGGGGACCATGCAGGACCTTCAGATGACATGCGAGTTTATAGAGGCAACCCACCTGATGGTCTGATCTGAGCATACGAAACCGAACACAAAGAAGAAGAAGAGAAGATCCCCTTTACTTTTTTTTTTAACAAGAAGAAGAAGAAATTAGTTGACAGATGATCCCCACTGCATATTTTATTATTTAGTCCGCAAGTGCTCCGATCTTCTCAAGACCTCCTTCATCTTGTGGTCATTTGCATTCTTCTGTTGGTTAATAAACAGCACCCTGTCTTGGAAGCTGAAATATTTTGGTCATATCAAGCGCCACGACGGATTGGAAAAAATTATAGCAGAAGGCATAAGGAAGGAGGGGCAGGGGCCAACCAGCATGAAGATGGGCAAAGGATATAAGTGACTCCTTGAGTATAAAAGTACATGACGTGGGAGAGCTGGTGAGAGACTGAGTTTCTTTCGGGCTGACTGTGATGAGAGCGACGTTCTGCAAAGGACCTGCTACATGATGATGACGATAAACTAACTAACTGGTTTGTTTGCTTTCCACAATTGCTGTGTTGACAAGCCTATTCGCATGTTAGTTTTTTTGGCTCGCTAGCGCAGTTGGCTAAACCTGACTGCGGGGTTACTGGGTGAAGAACTCCTTGTGGTCCGGGTTCACGCCCGGGAGTAGGCAGAAAAGCCAAATTCCTCCCAGATTTACGGTATCTATCAAGGCCGAAAGGTTGTGGTATCCATAGTACTGAGCCAAAGGGTTAAATACTCATGGTTTCTGGATATTTAAAAAAAAAAAAAAAGCTGAATGTCTGAGAAGAAAGCTGCCGAATACATGTGATGGCAACAATGGTCCTGAAATCTCATGCACTCATTGATGAAGGGGCTGTTGTAAAGAGAGCTAGTGATACTCTGACATCGCCGTGGGCTGTGATCACCATGCTTCCCTCCAGCACAGTGGAACACTATTGTCTGGAAAGACAGAAAGGTAGCAACAACCAGTACTTTATCTCTTCTCCTTCTCTTCTTCGCGTTCACCGGCTATAAACTCCAGCGGAAAGTTCTGCTTCTTCGTTACCTGTGGACTTTAGTCTTGTTCCAGAGCATAAATATTGTGTGCACATCCATTTTACAGATCTGACTTATTTGTCTGCAGATTGTTGGTTCCTTGCCTCTCAGGCTAATGTACTCTGACTTTGAAAGAATAGAACTTTATATAATACATGAATCTTCCCTGTGTGGGTTCCTGGGCCTCATTCTGGGGGTTTAGGGGGGGGATAGGCCCACTGCCTCCCTAACTAGCATGTTGAACAATATGACTAGTTCGGGGAAGTTTCCTTCCAAGTCGGAGTACATCTACCTGATAGTTGACAAACCAACAGTCTGTATACAGGTAAGCTAAATATGTTAAAAAAAATATGCACTCAAGTTCTGGAACGAGACCAAAGTCCAGAAATGGATGAACAGCCATAACTTTCTGCCTGATTGGTGATGAACCAACAGTCTGCATACAGATAAACTAGATCTGTAAAACGAATATGCATGCAGAACTCAAGTTCTGGAAACAAGACCAAAGTCCAGAAATGGATGAACAGCCATAACTTTCTGCCTGAGTTTACAGCCAGTGAACACCAAGAAGAAGAAGATACATTAATGTTAATTAATAATTAGCAAGGTTAGTTGAGTATCCTTTACAGGACGTTGCAGAACCAACCCCAGCAGCCCCTGGTTGTTGTGTGGTTTTTCTAGGCACATTTACGTCCAGTAGTTTGCCATTGCTTTCTGGACTGTCGGCTTTCTTGATACCACTGTCGAAACCAACGCAAGGCTCATGGACCGAAGCTGGGATCGAACCTGGGGGCATTCCGGCAATACAAAGCGTTCGCATCTACTTAGCCACAGAGCCGACAATAATTAGCAAGCAAATGTTAAAATAAAGTTGTCTTACTTTTCCAGAGATATTCTTCTTCTTTTTCTTCTTCGCGTTCACCAGCTGTAAACTCTGGCAGTAGGTTCTGGTTGCTCGTCCACTACTGAACTGCAGTCCTGCTCCAGAAGCTGAGTGTTGCGTGTGCATCAGTTTTACAGATCTCATTCTCTTGAATACAGACTGTTGGTTCCTTGCCTCTCCGGCAGATGCACTCCGACTTTAATGGAAGCTTCCCAATTAGTCGACTCTTACGATGTGCTTTTGGAGAGGCAGTGGGTCTATTCTTGTTTTCCCCACAATGGGGCCCCAGAACCCACACGGGGGTCCAGAGATATTGATTGATTGCTTTTTGTTTGTTAGTTGTTTTCAGTGGAGGTTTACAGCAACGAGGATAAGCCATTGAGTATATGCCAGCTAGCCCAGCAGCTTCGTAACTGTGTCAGCAAGGGTGCAGCACCTGGAGTACCTGTGGGGATCCTGACCACCATGGAGAGGTCAGCCTGGGGACAGGTGTACTCTGACATGATAACAGGTGAGAATACTGTCCTGACCACCATGGAGAGGTCAGCCTGGGGACAGGTGTATGACATGATAACAGGTGAGAATACTGTCCTGACCACCATGGAGAGGTCAGCCTGGGGACAGGTGTACTCTGACATGATAACAGGTGAGAATACTGTCCTGTTCTACTTGGAGAACTCAGGCTGGGGACTGGTGAATCTCATGCGCAGTGCACATACTTTCCTGGCACCATGGACGGAGGATGAGGCAACAGCTGGTTCTCCGACATGATAACCTGAGAATTCCCTCCAATTCACCGGCTGTAAACAGCCTGGGGCAGGTTCTCTGTTTGATAACAGGTGAGAATACTGTCCTGACCACCTATCATTGAGACCAAACTGATTTTTGCATGCACATCCATTTTACAGATCTGTCTTATTTGTATGCCCACTGTTGGTTCCTTGACTCTCAGGCAGATGCACTCCAACTTCAGAAGAAACATGCAAATTAGTTTACTTGTATGACGTGCCTTATTGGGGGAGGGGGCAGTGGATCTATTCTTCATCCCCTGCTCCCCACCCCATTTTTCGTAACCCACCTGGAACTCCATTGTCCAGATTTGTGGTCTGTTTGGGAGATTCTATATGGGCTCTGTAAGCAAAGTATGCCCCCTGTTGGTTCCTTGACTCTCAAGCAGATGCACTCCAACTTCAGAAGTCCCCATGCAAAGACTTTACTTGATGACGTGCCTTATTGAGGGGGGGCAGTCGAAAGCTATTCTTCACAGCGCTGCTCCCCACCCCATTTTTCGTAACCCACCTGGAACTCCATTGTCCAGATTTGTGGTCTGTTTGGGAGATTCTATATGGGCTCTGTAAGCAGAGATTCTTCCTGTGGGGAAACTGGGAAGCGAGATCAGGAAAATGAGATGTCCCTGGCTGAGACACAAAGAGAGACATGAACCTGTTGAGCAGGTCCCCCAAGCTGAGAGCACAACGCTGCCACCCACATGCAAATGTACTTTAAGGAATCATTCTGAATTCGCTGAAATGAGATTACTTGAACAAGCAGAGTGCGGGAGAAAACCAGGTGAAAAGAATTGAAATATATTTTCTCTTCCTTCATGTCGAACTTCAGAGTCAGCACAAACCAGTCTTCTTCTTTTGTTGGCATGAAATAAATTATATATATCTGCAATGCTGTCTCTAGTATGAACTTCACTGTCTGTTTTAATTCACTTAGTGGCCCAAGTTTGGGTTTTACAGATTTGACTTATTTGTATGCAGACTGTTGGTTTCTCACCTCTCAGGCAGATGTACTGACTTTGAAGGATACATTCCTAGTTAGTTGACTTTTTGACATGCTTGTTGAAAGGGGAGTGGGGCTGTTTGCTTGCTCCCCTCAAAATGGTTCTTCACAACTTACACAGTGAATAAGATGGAGTCTGTTACTCCCAGTGTCTCTTGGCCAGAAGTTTTGTCTGGAAACGTTTCTGGGTCAGTCTTGAAGGATATGATCTGTTGTCTCAGGTGCCAGTCCACATGTGCACGTGGCTGTGAAGTCGATTGTGCCAGTTTTAAGGTGTAGGATAATGACTTTCTCTGGTTTGTCCATAATGTGGTAATCATCTTGTTCCAGTTTTGGTGGCTTTCTGATTGATTTGATTATTCTAGCATGAACAAGTGTCAAGACAGCTGCAGTGTATTCATACAGAGCGGGTGTGAGACAGAATCATCTCCCTGGATCTGCAAAAATTGAACACTCTTGTAGCAACTGTTTATCTGTTATTGACAACTTCCGCAACTCAGATGGTGTTTACAGAAGGAACAAATGAACTAACTTTATTTTCACAGGGTCACAAATTGGGCACGCAGGCTCGTCTTACATTGGGCCCTTTCAAACACCTGTCTTTCACACAGCAGTTGTATTTTATCAATAAAGCATGTTATATTCATATGATAATATGTATATTGTGAATATCAAGAAAAATAACGAAAGGGGGGGTGGGGGGGGTAAAATGCGTGCACACACTAGCGCACTCACACACATACACGCACCCACCACTCACTTGATATATACACACCCACATACATTCACACTCACACACAAACTCACCCACATATGCAGAGACACACACAGATATGGAGGAGAGAAAGCTGTCTTGGAAACAGCCTGGTGTGGTGAAGTCTATTGTCTCATGGGTAAACATTTCAGCACGGCAGGAGGAACATGGTTCTCCAGCCCTGCTCACCACATGATGGTGATGATTGTCTCAACCAGCAGCCATTACATTGACGTGTGTTTTTTTCTCCCATTCGCAGACAAAACTAACCGGGAGTCTCTAGAAAACATTCAGCGGAGTATATGTGTAATTTGTCTAGATGGTCCGCTGCCAGCAGGCGCTGGTGACCCGGTGGATACTGCTGCATCTGTCATCCTCCACGGTGGGGGCAGCAGAGCTTACTCCGCCAACAGGTGGTACGACAAGACAATGCAGGTAAGCTGCTGTCTAGTGTCACAGTGCATTCTCAGATTCTGTAGCACAGCTCTCTTCTTCGTTGCTATTTTTGTTGTCACACCCAGGTTCGTCTTTAAGTTTGCTACAGGAGGAGTCGATTGGGAGATTATAGACGAGGAGAAAGATGGTCGTGTCGTTAGTGGTGAAGATGATAATGAGGTCTTGCTAGCTGCATGCTTCTGTCGTGACTCTGATGCTTGTATAACAAAATATCTGGAAACGACTGTTTTCATCTATACTGTCTTTATTGTGATACTTCAGCAATGTCACAAAATAACAGCAATGATATTCTAAATAGCGATGTGTTCTCTCTATGACTAAATACTCGTAGGTTCACGTTGTGTTCTTTATCTCTAATTACTTTGTTTCTAATGTCTCTAACTGCCACCTGGCTTCTAGTACTGTCTGGTTCTAACGGCTTGATCGTCGACTCTTAACATCTCTATAGTGTTCCTAATGTGTCTCTGTCAACCATGGATCCATGTATCTTGTGTGTTGTCTCTGTAGCTCGATGTCTTGTTTCATGTCTGCTCTCTAGTGACTGTCTTTGAGGCTAAATATGACCGGCTGCTCTCCTTCTAGTGTTGAGTTGGCATCTCCACAACTGCGAGGATCATTGAGACTAAATGCTCGCCCTCTGAGTTTCAACGACTGAAGGCATTCTTCGAGTTAAGCTGACATCTCTATGACTGAAGACTGCTTCGAGAGTCCATGTGACTGGTCTCTCCTCTCATGAGTCTTGTGGACTGAAGAATTTTCTTGAGTGGATTTTTACCCAGTATTTAAACTTGGATGCTGGAATGCTAGTTATTTGTTTTCTTCTCATTTTTTTCTGCTTCTAGAATATTCTAGTACGTCCAAACTTGTTTACTATGTAGGTTCTCACGTGGGATTTTCTAAAAAATATCTCGATTGCATCGGATTTCATCATCTTTTTCTGCGCAACTGAAGTAGTTAAATTGACAGCTGTCCTTCTAGTAAACAAGTATAATTGCGTTTGCTTTGATAGGGCACAACAACAAGGTATTTACTAGTACGACAAGGTTGGGTCACATGATGAAACAAACGCATTTCAAAACTTCTAGAAAGAAGGTCAAGGCCAGACAACCTCAGTTTGATGTAAACAGCTAGTTTTGGTGGGAAAAGAAGATTCTGGAAAAGGGAATGTCAAGGTTACCAAAACTTGTTGATTTTCAGTACATTATAACTTTGTGCCTTCTAACAAACAAGCTATGACCCACTCTGTTACAATTCTCATGTCGGGTTATTCATCTCAAGAACAGTATCTATCCTCTTTTTGTGTTTCAAGTTTTAAGCTAAGAACTGACATCTTAGCATTTGGGACATTCACATAAGTGCTCCACCCTCATCATCAGCAACCAGGGTTCCAGTTCTGATGGTGCAGATAGTACGTTATGGTCTAGAGAAAATTATACAGCTGGTGGTAACCGGGGGATTTGGTCAGCACTCTACACTCATAGAACTAATTAGTGTTGTTTGACATTTGACTGTTAGTTTATCTGGGGTCACACAAGTCAGTGTGAATGTCTCAAGTCACTCCGTTGTTAGTTACACTCCTGTTCTTGCTTTTTGCTATTTGGCAAACGAGCAAGAAGGCCAGAGGCAACCCCCCCCCCCCCCCCAATGTGACCTACGTTTCTGGGTGTGAAACAGGACAGTGAATGTCCACATTCGGGCAAACCTGGAGCCAGTTGGTTTTTAAAGGCAGATTTGTGAGTCCTACAATTGATTAAAGAAAAACAAATGAGATGGTTTAGCCACCTGACGAGAATGCCCTGTTACCAGCTGCCACAGAGAGCCACGCTGTAGAAAAATAAAGAACACAGAGCAAGGAGAAGACCACACAAGAGATGGAGCGACACCATCAGGAGCAGCCTAACAGAAATAAACACCAGCTTGTACAATACATTGCAAAATGCTCACAAATGGACCTTACATCTTCCCCCAACACCTCACTGAGGTAAATGATGGAAGAGAAGAAGAAGAAGATGATTTTTCAGATCACTCTTGAGAACCACAAGAACAAAAAGCCCCATGTGGGTTCCAAGGTCCCATTGTGAGGAAAACAAGAACAGACCCACTGCCTCTCCAACAAGCATGTCGTAGGAATTGTCTAATTGGGGGATTCCTTCAAAGTCGGTGTGTTTCTGCCTGAGGGGCAAGAAACCAACAGTCTGCATACAAATAAGCAAGATCTGTCAAATGGATGCACATGCAAAACTGAGTTGAGTGAAGAATTGACATCACAGCACTCAGGGCGTTCCCATGTGTACTCCGTCCTCATCTTCAGCAGCCAGTGCAGAGTTCCAGTACTGATGGTACCAGTCACTTTCTGGTTGTATGTCCGTCTTGCCTTTCCTCTGAGTGTAGTGAGCCGGCCAGACCCTCTGGTTACACCCAGGTGCCTTTTTCTCTCCAGGCCATAATAATCTTGTTTCTCTACTGATTCCGTTGCTTGTTTCCAAAGGGCCTTGACCACATCTGCCGTGTTAAATATCAATTCACCACCCAGTGGTGCAGATTCAGCCAATCTGTCTGCCTGTTCATTGCCTACTACCAAATCTTAATAAAATTTTGGTTGCTCGTCCACTTCATTACTTGTTCCAAAACTTGAGTTTCCCATGCACTTCTGTTTTACTGATTTGACTTATTTGTATGCAGACAGTTGGTTTCTCAATTGTTGGTTTCTCACCTCTCAGGCAGATGTACTGACTTTAAAGGATACATTCCTAGTTGGTTGACTTTTTAACATGCTTGTTGAATTGGGGGGGCTGTTTGCTTTTTCCCCTCAAAATGGTTTTTCACAACCTACACAGTGAATAAGATGGAACAGTAAGCATACATATACTGCAAACATCTGTTAAGTGAGACAGAGGATGTATGGGTGTGTCCTGAGTACAAGGGACAACAGTTCTAGCTGCTGGACCACCTGCAGCTCTGCTGGTTTGTTGTGAAATTGGCGGAGTTTTATACTGTCTAATTTCTGGTGACACCCACAGATATTTCTCTCATGTTTCCAGTTTATCTTCAACCCCGACGGCTATGTGGGCCTCAACTATGAGCATACAACAGCCGAGGGCCCTGCTGTCATCGGCCTCTGTGATTACGTCCTGGATTACGTGTAGGTATTTGGATTCTGTGTGTGCGTATATGCTGATTCTAAGTTGACAGAAGATGTGATCATTAAAAACTTTGCTGTGAGGCAGTCAGTAGAGAAAACAGTGCCAACATTCTCTCTGCTTTCGAGGAGGCTGGACGAGAAGATGACTCAGGAAATGAAATTGAATCGGCAGCACTCAAAAGTCTACAAGAAAAGTCAGAAGAGGAGTTGCCAAACATGAAAACTCTACAGGTAGCCAAACAAGAATAGTAAACCAACACAGTACTGGTGTTATCAGTCGCCACATGCTAAGGGATATCCTGAAGATGGGATCCGAGTGCTTATTGGCTTGTCCTATATGCAGTGAAGATAATCTGTCGATGAACTAACTAACTAGTCAGTAGAGGAAACAAGCAAAGAAGAAGATTGTTTATCACAAGACGTGAAACTGAGGCATTGAATACGTGAGATTTTAGGAGCATTTATGTCCCAGTTTACTGTGTGCAGTTACTAGTAGCAGACGCACATCATAATCTGAAGCCATAATATTGTGAGGTAGGATAGTTGAATGTATGACTGGGAGGATCTTACCATGTGCCAGATATAGGCTGGGAGTTTTTGCTAAAACTACTGGTTTCTGCTGATAGCATGCACATATGAGGCAGCTACATGCTTGGAGTTCGCACTAAAACTACTGGTTTCTGCTGATAGCATGCACATATGAGGCAGCTACATGCTTGGAGTTCGTACTAAAACTACTGGTTTCTGCTGATAGCATGCACATATGAGGCAGCTACATGCTTGGAGTTCGTACTTCTGCTGATACATGCTTGGAGTTCGCACTAAAACTACTGGTTTCTGCTGATAGCATGCACATATGAGGCAGCTACATGCTTGGAGTTCGTACTAAAACTACTGGTTTCTGCTGATAGCATGCACATATGAGGCAGCTACATGCTTGGAGTTCGTACTAAAACTACTGGTTTCTGCTGATAGCATGCACATATGAGGCAGCTACATGCTTGGAGTTCGTACTAAAACTACTGGTTTCTGCTGATAGCATGCACATATGAGGCAGCTACATGCTTGGAGTTCGTACTAAAACTACTGGTTTCTGCTGATAGCATGCACATATGAGGCAGCTACATGCTTGGAGTTCGTACTAAAACTACTGGTTTCTGCTGATAGCACACACACATGCTTGATCTGTCTGCTAGTGAGAGACTGAGAATAGTAAATAGAAATATAAGAGGGTAGTGACAATTTTCGGTTACAATAAAACTGTTAAAAATCTGTCCCAGAGGGAAAAGTTCAAAGCAGGTGAGAAAGATTAATATAAAGATATCAGTGGGACGTTAAACAGGTATAGAGCGAGTGGAAGACCTCAGAAAATATAGAGTGTTGGCATTAAAAACAGCCTTACAGAAATGAACATCAGTCTTAATAGTGCTCTTGACAGAGCTCGTCAAAGATTGTTACATCTCCCCCCAACACTTCGATGAGGTACAAGGTGGAAGAGGAGAAGAAGAAGTGGGACCTAAAGAAGTGTACACAGAGCAGTCTGCCAGAGTTAGTTTGTTAATTGACAGATCATCGTCACTGCACAGCAGACTAATCTTTAAGCGCTCTGATCACATTCTTAATATCTCCGTCAGCTTATGGCGACTGATGACACCAATTGTTTGTTGGTTTACTATTCTTCTTTGGCTTCCTGTGTAGTATTCATGTCTGGCAAAATGTCAAGGTTGCCGATTCACCCTCTTCTCATGAATCATTTACTCGTCCTACCTCCTTGAGAGCATTGAAAACATCATTCTGGTCCATTGCTTGTCCAGTACCTACCGTGATCCTGCCAGCAAGCCAGTCTGCTCATTCCTTCCCTCTGACCCCTGAGTATCCTGGCACAACAATGAAACTGATTTCTGTCACATGAAATTTCCTCAGAGACTCCAACCATTGTCTTTCTTCTTCTGCACGTTCACCGGCTGTAAACTCCGGTGGAAAGTTCTGGTTGATCATCCACCTATGAACGTTAGACTTGTTCCATAACCTGAATGTTGTGTGCATATCTGTTTTACAGATCTGAATCATTTGTGTGCAAACTGTTTGTGCCTTGCCTCTCAGGCAGATGCACTCAGATTTCGGAGAAAACCCCCAATTAGTCAACTCTCACAACATGCTTGTTGAGCAGGCAGTGGGTCTTTTCTTGTTTTTCACACGAAGCCCTCAAAACCCACACAGGGAACCAGTCTTTGAACCCATCCTGTCTCTCTATCTTCTGAAACATGTTAGTCTGCCAGATTGTACAGCGTAAGTGAGAAAGAGCGTTGGGGATCTTCTCAAGGGAGATATAAGGTTCTGTTTCTAGCTCTTCTGGCTGCCTCGACCATAGGCACATCGTGCTGTTGTAGAGATTCTCTGATGTTATCCTTCCATCTTGTTCTTTGTCTACCCCGTGCTCTACGTCCTTCTTCTCTTTCCATGTATGCTTTGAATGGTATGGTGTCACAAGGCATTCTCTCTAAGTGGGCAAACCATTTCACTTGCTGTCTTTGTATGTAATCCAGAATTGGTTCTGTGCCGACTTGTTCTCTTATGATCTCATTCCTGATCTTATCTCTTATGGTCACTCCTACAGCCCTTCTCAGACATCTCCTTTCCGTGGTTACTAATGTTGGGGATCTACTAGGGCTTATCTTTATCATGAAGATGATACCTGTTTTATTAACTTCTGGCTTTGTTACACTCTTTTTAAAAGATAAATGCAGAACGGTAACTTAACCTACAGATGTGAGTCTGGACTATCTCCCAGTCCTTAAGAAAGAGAATAGGGGCTTTTGAGCTGAAATGCTATAGAAAGATTCTCAGAATACCAAGGACAAAGAAGAGAAGAAATACTGACATTTTAAAGGATCTGAACATCAAGGAAAATTGGCTAATAAACAGCCACTTGTCTCAAAAGCTGAAATATTTTGGTAATGTAGAAGCGCCATGACAGATTGGAAAAAATAATTACAGAAGGTATGGTATCAGAAAGGAGGGGGCAGGGCTGATCAACAAGTAGATGGACACAGGATACAAGTGACTCCTTGAATATGAAAGTACGCGAGGCGGGAGAGCTGAGAAGAGACCTAGTTTCTTTCAAACGGAACGGACCGTGATGAGAGTGATGTTCTGCAAAGAACCTGCTACGTGATGATAAAACCTTAAGCAAAAAGATCACATTACACATGGTCTGTTTCATTTCATACTGAACTCAACAGCATAATTCTATCCATGTATGTGAAATAAATGTTGAATGTAATACAGGCTTGTCCTGTGAATTCTAGTTGGTAAACTATCAAAAAAGATTCCCCCCCCCCCTTCCCGCAAAGATCACATAACTCATGATCTATTTCATTTCATTCTGTACTTAACAGTATAATTCCCCCCCCGTGTGGGTTCCGGGGCCCTATTGTGGGAAAACAAGAATAGACCCACTGCCTCCCCAAAAGCATGTCGTAAGAGTCGACTAACTGGGGAGCTTCCTTTGAAGTCGGAGTGCATCTGCCTGAGAGGCAAGGAACCAGCAGTCTGCATTCAATTGAATCAGATCTGTAAAACTGATGCGCATGCAACACTCAGGTTCTGGAGCATGACTGCAGTCCAGAAGTGGACGAACAACCAGAACTTTACGCCAGAGTGTACAGCTGGTGAACACAAAGAAGAAGAAGAAGTATAATTCTATCCATGTATGTGAAATAAATGTTGAATGTAATACAGGCTTTTCTTGTGAGTTATAGTTAGTAAACTATCCTGTCTTTGATCACCAGTGGAAGAAATCAGCCATCACGGACCACAGGTTCTGAATCCACCACTCCACAGTTGCTTCCCTTCAACATCAACAATAACACACAGGAGGCCATCAGCAGAGGCAATCAGGAGATTGATTTGTGCGTATTTTGGTTTAATTCTGCTCATCTACCGTTTCTCCAGGCACATCTCTGTATGTTTCTTTACACCTGCAGATTTATCACTTTATGTGGTACTTCCACCTGTACATTTGTCACATTATGCAATACTAACACCTGTATGTTTGTCACATTGTAGAGTACAGCCAACCATAACGTCATCACTGTGTATGCCACATTTTGGTCCTCTTTGGGGAAGAAGAAAAATGGAATATATTGTGACCACTGGAAAGATCTGTGGAAAAAGAAATGGATGTCTGAGATTATTATTGAAAGCCTTTTGTCATGGCATTGGGGTGTGTCAGCATGCAAACTGATACCTGCTGTTGTATGGAGTATTGTCTGTATTTTGTCACCGGGAAACGCCGGTATGTTGGGAAGTGGACAGTGTGGCTGGCTCTGCACAACTTAGTGGAATACTGGTCCATGATTAGGCAGATGTGGTTAATGCCTTGTGGGAGAGCGTGTACAGTTCAGAGGAGCAGATGGATCACCACAGTCTGTGGTGATGCACAGGGGAGTGACGAGAGATTCTGGCAGATGCTCGAGGTTCAGAGGAAAGGGAAGACGGATATTTAATCAGAATGCTACTGGCACCATTAGTATCAGAACTCTTCATATAAAGTTTTTACTTCTCTGTCATCTGCCATTCTTTCAATGTGCCCCAGCCATTTTAGTCTATACGCTCTCATAATGTTAGTGATTTAGACAAGATTATGAATGGGAGTTGTTAGCTAAAAACATCTGGAGACATACTCAGGAGAGGATCAGAGAACTTATGGTCCTAGGCGATGAAGATGTTCTTTAAAGGAACAATGAACATAGCTGGAACTTATCACCTTTGGGGCACACCAATAATGTTTACCCAAATACTTGTACTCTCAGGGCTGCCAAAGATCTGATGCTGCGAGGGCTGTTCTTCAACAACTATGGCAAAAGTTTCATCAAAGAGCAGAAACTTAGTCCTGATGCTTATATCCAAATTGCATTTCAACTTGCCTACTACAGGTAAGTAAGTCTCAGGTGTCTTTACACTTTATCTGCATACTTTCTGCAGGTAAGTCCCAAATGCATCACGCTTTACCTAGATACTTTCTACAGCAGGTAAATCTAAGATGAACAAAGAAAACACAAATAGATGGCACATTTGATTGCCTGGCATATTTTGCTGTATCTCCTCAGGTGCATACTACAATACCAGTTGATTAAAATAAAGCAAATAAATGAATCCTTTGAACGGAAATAAAATATCAGCTGCGCTCAAGAGTAATTGCCTGTTTGATCAGGGTAACTGCAGGTTCACAACGATATCATTTTGTCTGCACAAATCTGGTTATAAATGTTTTATTGAGGTAGACTGTAGACCAGTTGCAGACTTCTTTTAAAGTTTTCGTTTAACATATATAATTTCAAATGTATTATTATGTTTATATTCGGTGCAATAATGTTATTGTTAAGCACTCAACAAGTTATCCAATTCTTTTCTTTGTTTAAATGTCCCTGTACTAAGTCAACCCACAGCTCTCATTGTCAATGCAGACTCTACAAAAAGGCATGTGCCACATACGAGACTGGGTCCTTGCGGAGGTTCCAGCTGGGCCGTACGGACACAATCCGCTCCTGTTCCATCGCTTCTCATGCCTTCACCAAGGCCATGGATGACTCTTCTGTGCCTGGAAACAAGAAAGTGACCTTGTTGAAGGAGGCCATTCAGTCACACAGGAAGTACACAGATGATGTGAGTCTCGACTAACTTGTTCAGAGAGTTATCTAGCTGCATAGTCTCTCTCTCTCTCTATGTCTCTCATTTTCTCTCTCTGTCTCTCTCATTCTCTCTCTCTGTCTCTCTCTCTGTCTCTGTCTCTCTCTCTGTGTCTTTCTCTGTCTCTCTCTGTGTCTCTCTCTGTCTGTCTCTGTCTCTCTCTCTCTGTGTCTCTCTCTCTCTCTGTGTCTCTCTCTCTCTCTGTCTCTGTCTCTCTCTCTCTCTCTCTCTCTCTCTCTCTCAGAATGTTGGTTAGTTAATTAGGTAGTTAGAACCAAACTGATTACGTTTAATGTGCATAATTTTGTGGTGGTTAATAAACAGTTGCTCCCGGTGTGCCCTCTTGCTATGAAGGGGACCTGGAACTTTACATTTATCAACCTAGCATCACCTTTTAAATGACCTGACCGATTTTGTTATCAACTGCGCCCCACAGCCATGCAGTTCTTTTGCATGAAGGAAACACCTAGAACTTGAGTGTCATAATAATCATAAATTATAGCCTATTATAATCTAGTTTCTCTTCTGACTTCAGTACTTGTTACCAAAGGGCTCTGACCACATCTGCCTTGTCAGTTGGTAGGGATTGAAACTTATGACCGCTAGGGTGGCAGGCATGTGAGCAAACTAGCTACTGCTATTCTATAGCTTCCACCGGGATAAATATTACTTGTTTACCCCCAAACTTAGTTATCATTATTTAGTTTCCCTACATCCCCCTGTAGGTTCCAGGGCACCCATTGTGAGGAAAAACAGAATAGACTCACTGCCTCCCTAACAAGCATGTCACAAAAGTCGATGAATGAAGGGTTTCCTTTGAAGGTGGGGTGCATCTGCCTGAGAGGCAAGGAACCAATAGTCTGCATAGTCATACAAATAAGCCAGATCTGTAAAATGGATATGCACACATACACAAATGGATGAACAACCATAACTTTCTGCCAAAGTTTATAGCCAGTGAACCAGAAGAAGTTATCCCACATATAGTTGAATATCACTTGTTGAGTTTCCCCATACTAGATGAATATCATTGTTTAGTTCCCCTGCAAATAGACAAATAGCACTGTTTAGTCGATCCACACATAGGTAATAATATATTTAGATTCTGGCTTATTGGTAATAGCATATAGTTTCCCCATTTATAGGTAAATAATATGTAAGTTAATAACCCAGTTCCAACAAATGAAGTGGTTTGAACACCTCACAAGAATGCGCTGGTACTATCTGCCACAGCGAGCCACACTGAAGTGTTACAACAGGTATAGAGCGGGTGGAAGACCTCAGTAAAGTTGGAGTGATGGCATAAAAAACAGCCTTACAGAAAGGAACATCAGTAATAGTGCTCTTGACAGAGCTCATCAACACATGTTACATCTCCCCCCAACACTTCGATGAGGTACAAGGTGGAAGAGAAGAAGAAGAAAAATAACCAAGTTCTGAGAGTAAAATATTGCAGTTCTCACACCAAACGATAACTGTAGGCAGTGATTGACTTGTCACTCTGTCTGTATACAGACTATCAACGGGCAAGGGATAGACAGACATCTGTTGGGTCTGAGGCTGATAGCCCAGGAGAATGGTCTTGAGGTGCCTGAAATCTTCACAGACCCGGCCTACAAGAAGAGCACACATTATAATCTGTCCACGAGCCAGGTAGGTCCACACAGCGAGTCCGTGTTAGACAGTGGGGTGTGTGCAGGTCAACTTGTACTGTCTTTATGACAGGTGGGCTAGTGCTGTCTGGGTTTACAGGTGAGCTAGTACTGTCTGTGTGTGTACAGGTGAATTAGTACTATCTATGTATTAAGCTGAGTTGATACTATCTGGGTGTGTGTACAGGTGGGTTGGTACTGTCTGGTGGACTAGTAATGTATGTAAAATTATGTTACTACTGTGTAATTTAAATAGTAAGGCTCTTCTGCCTCAATGTAGTAATGAGTTGGTACTGTGTGTGTAATGTTAGATCACCACTGTATGTGGCTGTACACGAGGGTCTGTTGTGTCTGTCTGTATGTGTGTGCATACTGTACATTGTATGTTCTGGTAGGTCTAATAAGAGCCAGCATATAGTACCTTCATAAGATTTGGTACAGACAGTACCGATGTAATGCTGACCACATTCCCCACCTAGTGCTGATTGGTCTCTAAAAATATGGGTGTTCTTCCCATATGCCCGATGTGCCTAAAGGTGTGAAAAGGGATCTTTACTTACTTACTTATAGATTTTGGTGGTCACCTTTTATCAGGGTGGCTTGAATTTACAACTTTGTAATTAATAAGTCTCTCTCTCCCTCTCTCTCTCTCTCTCTCTCTTTCTCTCACACACACCTACCTACTTACCTGCTGCTGCTAATCTCCTTCTTAATGCTCACCAGCTGTAAACTTCAGCAGAATGTTTTGGTTGTACCTCTACTACCTGACTTTGTCTTGTTCTACAACTTGAGTTTTACCTGCGCATCTAATTTGCAGATTTAGCTTATTTTTAGCCAGACTGTTGGTTCCTCGCCTCTCAGGCAGATGCACTCCAACTTTAAAGGTAACTTCCCTGATTAACCCCCCCTTCTTATTGGGGCAGCGGGTCATCTCCTGCCATGAAAATATAGCCCCGGTACCAATATGGGGAACTGCTGCTGGTGTCTAGTAATCACAAAGACAGTTAGAAACTCCCTGTGTAGCTCTGTCTGTCGGCAGGTTGCCTTCAAGTACAATCACTCAGTATGTACCTCTCTGCCTGCATGTTGCCTTCAAGTACAAACACTCAGTATGTACCTCTCTGCCTGCATGTTGCCTTCAAGTACAAACACTCAGTATGTACCTCTCTGCCTGCATGTTGCCTCCAAGTACAAACACACAAACACTCAGTATGTACTTCTCTGCCTGCAGGTTGCCTTCAAGTACAAACAAACACTCAGTATGTACCTCTCTGCCTTCATGTTGCCTCCAAGTACAAACACACAGTGTGTACCTCTTTACCTGCATGTTGCCTCCAAGTACAAACACACAAACACTCAGTATGTACCTCTCTGCCTGCATGTTGCCTCCAAGTACAAACACACAAACACTCAGTATGTACCTCTCTGCCTTCATGTTGCCTCCAAGTACAAACACACAAACACTCAGTATGTACCTCTCTGCCTGCATGTTGCCTCCAAGTACAAACACACAAACACTCAGTATGTACCTCTCTGCCTGCATGTTGCCTCCAAGTACAAACACACAAACACTCAGTATGTACCTCTCTGCCTTCATGTTGCCTCCAAGTACAAACACTCAGTATGTACCTCTCTGCCTTCATGTTGCCTCCAAGTACAAACACACAAACACTCAGTATGTACCTCTCTGCCTGCATGTTGCCTCCAAGTACAAACACACAAACACTCAGTATGTACCTCTCTGCCTTCATGTTGCCTCCAAGTACAAACACACAAACACTCAGTATGTACCTCTCTGCCTTCATGCTGCCTTCAAGTACAAACACACAAACAATCAGTATGTACCTATCTGTCTGCATGTTGCCTCCAAGTACAAACACACAAACACTCAGTATGTACCTCTCTGCCTGCAGGTTGCCTCCAAGTACAAACACACAGTATTTACCTCTCTGCCTTCATGTTGCCTCCAAGTACAAACACAAACAGTCAGTATGTACCTCTCTGCCTGCATGTTGCCTTCAAGTACAAACACACAAACACTCAGTATGTACCTCTCTACCTGCAGGTTGCCTCCAAGTACAAACACACAAACACTCAGTATGTACCTCTCTGCCTGCATGTTGCCTTCAAGTACAAACACACAAACACTCAGTATGTACATCTCTGCCTGCATGTTGCCTCCAAGTACAAACACACAAACACTCAGTATGTACTTCTCCCTCTGCAGGTTGTCTCTTAGTACAAACACACACATGCAAACACTCATTATATACCTCTCTCTGTCTGCAGGTTGCCTCCAAGTACAAAGCCTTCCTATGTTTCGGACCAGTTGTACCAGACGGCTACGGACTCTGCTACAACCCACAAGATGACCAACTCATCATATCCATCAGCTCTTTCCACAGCAGTCCACACACCAACTCAGACCTGTTCTCATCCAGCCTGTCTCAGTCTCTCCTAGATATGCAGACACTCCTCGCCAGCCACCCACAGGCCAAGTTGTAGTTACTACTGGCCTACTTTTGGCTCCAGCATCTGTGAGACATCATTGGACTATCTTCATTCAGACACCAAAGAGACTGTTGACCTGTTGTGTGGTGATATGATGAAATCGTGTATGGTGACATGTGTAGTGACATGATTTGTTGTGATATGGTAATTTGTCGCAGGGGTATGTTGTGTCATGTCATTATTTGTGATGACACTGTGGGCAGACATATGTAGTGATATGTTGTGTGGTGTCTATATGTGGGACATTGTGTGGTAACATGTACTGTGGTAGCATGTACTGTGGTAACATGTACTGTGACATCATGTGTGGTGACTTGTTGTGTGTAAGATCTGTTGATGTCAGCAGATCAGAGTTTAATATTAAGTGTCTTCACTGTGGGATCTGTCAGTATGGGTCTCTCATCTTACATATTGTATACATTATGAGTGGCACATGTTTTATCCAAAAGACACTGGCGTTGGATAGGACACACGTTGAAAAAACCTGAAAACAATATAACTAGAATCTCTTTGCATTGGAACCCACAAGTTGATAGAAATAGAGGCAGATTTTAAAAAAAACTGATGGAACTAGAGAGGGGAGTTAAAGCGATGGGTGAGTTGCATGCAATAGCAAAGCATAGAACAACTTAGCGGGCAATGGTGGAGGGTCTATGCTCCATTGGGAGATAGAAAGTAGAACAACAATATTTTATCTGTTTGAATTATAATGTCTTAGATGTGTTGTTAGTTACATATTTTTAATTTTTTTTTTTTCAATTTTAAATAAGAATGCACCTTTAAAGTGACCTTGTGTGTTTGTCAGGTGTTTCCCTATAAAAAATACAATTTTAAAGTAACCACTTGTGTTATGTGTGTTGTCAGGTGTTGTTTTTTTTTTCCTATAAGAATGCAGTTTTAAATTGACTACCTGTGGTTTGATTTTGATTTTTTTTTCTCAAATTATATTTTTGCAAAGCATATTTATGTTTTCATTGTACAATAAATATTTATGGCTTGCTACATTGTGTACAACAGCATGTACTCATTTATGAGTGTTTTACATTACTGAACATTGTTTCATTTCCTCTGATGTTGAATATTTTACCAGATTTAAAACAGAACGCAGCTATATTTATGCAGTTGTTACTTCTCTTTTATGCTGAATGAATGTATTTCCTGTACACAATGGAAACATCGCATCAGCATTGGTGCTAATTTGATGCATACAGGTGTAGAATAGATCGCAGCAGTATACATGTTTATTTGATGTGTACAGATGTAGAATAGGTAATAGCAATATAAATGTATATTAGATGTACACCAATATAGAGTGCATTGCAGCAGTATGAATGTTTATTTTGTACAATTTTTTTCTTTTGTACTATTTTTATTTGATGTTGAAAGAGACAAAATCAAACATTTCACTGTAAAGCTTCCAGAGTGACAAATTCAAGACTGTCTACAAACAGATCCTGCTCCATATCTCGTACTGAGTGTACCCTAAGTCTCATTTGGACATTGCTACTTTCACTCTTCTCCACTCAGGGCCAGACTTTTTAAAAAAAAATAAACTTGGCTGCCAGGTCGACCTAGCCTAGAGTGGGTACCAGGTACAGTCCTGGGAAGTAGAGGCGGCCAGCGTGATGCTGACCACATCACCCACCAAGTGCCGTTTGGTCTATAAAATTTAGGTCTAGCCCTATATACCCAATACCCCTGAAATGCATGGAAAAAGGTCCTTTGCATTTACATTTACTCTTCTCCACTCTCTTGCCCCAAAAAGCCGCAAAACTGACACTTCAAGTTGGAAATAATCAAAGCAATGTTTCCCCGATGTGAATTTGAACAAAGAAGACACAAAAAATAGAGTGCACAATTTATTGCCTGGCATATTTCGCTGTATCTCATCAGGTGCATACTACAGTAACAATTAATTAAAATGAAGCAAATAGCTGAATCCTAGAAACTGAAACACAAATTCGAGTAGATTTCAAACTTTTTTTAGGGCAACGACCATTTCTTTTTGCCTACATAATTCCGGTTTCAATCTGCCAATCGCTGAAGCTTCCGCAGATCATTTCTTTTTGCCTACATAGTTCCGGTTTCAATCTACCAATCGCTGAAGCTTCCGCGTATCGAAGTAATCTACTACGTAGATTACTTCGATACGCAGAAGCTTCAGCGATTGGTAGTACGTAGATTACTTCGATACGCGGAAGCTTCAGCGATTGGTAGATTGAAACCGGAACTATGTAGGCAAAAAGAAATGGTCGTTGCCCTACGTTTACCTTGGTGAAACAGTTTGAAATCTACTCGAAATTTGTGTTTCAGTTTCTAGGATTCAGCAATTTGCTTCATTTTAATTAATTGTTACTGTAGTATGCACCTGATGAGATACAGCGAAATATGCCAGGCAATAAATTGTGCAGTCTATTGTTTGTGTCTTCTTTGTTCAACTTCAAGTTGGGTCTATTTCCCCATTAATGTCACTTTTCTTACTTTTCTACAGTGACTTGTTTACGATTCACATGGTTAATGCTGTTGGCTGAGTTTGCATCTGTGCAAATGGTTAGGAGGTCAGGAGGTGAATATGTTAGCTACAAATATCATTTGGGGGGTTTTCCTATGAACCAAATAACTTTTCTGAAAGCCAAGTTGATGTCAAATGTTCCCATAAGCCTCAATGATAGAGGTCATGACATAAGCCACCTGACACATTTTCTTACGACCCCAGAGAATGAATTCCATTTATTGCTTAACTCTGCTCATATTTGTTGATAACTCCCATTATATATCTTTGTATATTTTGAAAACAAATTTAAAAAAACAGATAAAGGAATGTTTCAGAAATGTATAAGTAATCTGCGTGAATTTTATTAAAATGTTTTTTAGCCAGAAATAAGGCAACAGCGTTAAAATGCTCGTCATATTTGCCCACTCCTGCTTATCCACGGCAGTCATCTCAACCATATATTGCCACTGAAAACAAAATGATATCAGAAGGAGAGTGGGTAGTGGGTATTTTGATCTAATTCAGGTGTTTTATTGTCATCCTGTCTCATTAATGTCTCCAGACTTGGATACATTTGGTTTGACCATCTCTGCACCGACCTGGAACTGACAGATAACATATTGGACAGCAGTGGACAGATGATGTCCTGGACAGCAGTGAACATATAATGTTAGTTAGTTAGGTTATCATCAATGCACGCCAGGTATGTCTATAGGTGCTCAGATCCGCCCTTCAGTAGAAACCCCGGCGTCCGGTGGCTAATAGTACCATTTCTATGCTGATTAACAAGTTGTCTAATTTGCCTGGTGTGTGTCTCGTTGTTTGCTATGCTGATCTTAACTCATAAGTCTATCATTCTGGTGAGTAGTGTCGATTCACTGGGGACATATGATGTGCTGGACAACAGTGGACATATTATATGCTGGACAATAGTGGACAATGATGTGCTGGACAACAGTGGACATATGATGTGCTAGACAACAGTGGACATATGATGTGCTAGACAACAGTGGACATATGGTGTGCTAGACAACAGTGGATATATTTTGTTCTGGACAACAGTGGACATATGATGTGCTGGACAACAGTGGACATATGATGTGCTGTACAACAGTGGACATATGATGTGCTAGACAACAGTGGACATATGATGTGCTAGACAACAGTGGACATATGATGTGCTAGACAACAGTGGATATATTTTGTTCTGGACAACAGTGGACATATGATGTTCTGGACAACAGTGAACATATGATGTGCTGGACAACAGTGGATATATTTTGTTCTGGACAACAGTGGACATATGATGTGCTGGACAACAGTGGACATATGATGTGCTGTACAACAGTGGACATATGATGTGCTAGACAACAGTGGACATATGATGTGCTAGACAACAGTGGACATATGATGTGCTAGACAACAGTGGATATATTTTGTTCTGGACAACAGTGGACATATGATGTTCTGGACAACAGTGAACATATGATGTGCTGGACAACAGTGGATATATGATGTGCTGGGCAACAGTGGACATATGTTGCACTGGACAACAGTGGGCATATGATGTGCTCGACAACAGTAGACATTTGATGTGCTGGACAATAGTGGACATATGTTGTTCTGGACAACAGTGGACATATGATGTGCTCGACAACAGTGGACATATGTTCTGGATAACAGTGGACATATTATATTCTGGACAATAGTGGACATATGATGTTCTTGACAACAGAGGACATATCATATGCTGGACAATAGTGGACATATGATGTTCTTGACAACAGTGAACATATGATGTGCTGGACAGAAGTGGGCATATAATGTGCTGAACAACAGTCAGTATATGATGAGCTGTACTGAAGTGGACATATTTTGTGCAGGACAGGAGTGGGAGTATGCTGCACATTTTTTCTGTGTAGTAAAAATGTAAGCTGTTGCTGAACTCATGTTTGACAGTGATTGGAAACATGTTGGCTGTGTGTTTGTATGTATTTACATTCCCTTTAGAAGTCAACACTGCTATAACTTCTCTGCTAAAGCTACAAGTCTTCAGCAATGCTAAGTGGTACATATCATTAGTCTCTGCCTGCAGGTTGCAAAAAATATGTGTGTTTATCACAAACTGCAGACCTTAATGGGCACACCAGAGTTAGCATTGCTTCTTCCCTGCGTGGGTTCTGGGACCTTGTTGTGGGGAAAACAAGAGTAGACCCACTGCCTTACCAAATAAAGCATATCGTAAGAGTCAGCTAGTTATGGCTTCCTTCGAAGTCAGAGTGCTTCTGCAGAGAGGCAATGAACCAACAGTCTGCATATAAATAGGTCAGATCTGTAAAATAGATGTGCACACCTATGCTCAGGTTCTTAAACGAGGCTAGAGTCCAGAGGTGGACGAACAACCAAAGTTTACAGTTGGTGAATGCAAAGAAAAAGAAGCAGTTTCTGGCCACCACAGTCCTTCCGTTATCTGATTGGATGACAGCAACGGTCCATGGTT